AAAGGAAGAAAATCATAACTGAAGACAGCATTACCCTTAATATAGCACCACTCCCATAACACCCAAGCACCCCAGCCAATTAATAGCTTCACACTTGCTTTCAGATACTCACAGGAGTATAGGAAAGTAGGGCTGGAAGTGACCTCATGCAGTTATCTAGTCCAGCCCCTGCTCAAGTCAGGATCATCCAACTAAACATCCCATCACAGATTGATATCATCACCCTCCATACAGGTATCAAAGAACTGTAAACACATGCTCATGTCCTGTTTTTAGAAGAGTGAACTGGTTTTCTCCTTTAGACTGCACAGTTAACAGAGACTCTTTCTACAAATCTGTTTCAGGCAAATTCTTCATTGAAGCCCACAGAAGTTTGAATAAGAATGCAGGAGCAAGGTCCCACTTCGCATTTCCCAATATTTGTCATCTGTTCCAACAGACGGATCTGTTTGTAGCGTAGGTCTGATCCTACTCCCAGTTAAGTCAATTAGACTTCTGACATTGACTTTAATGGGTGTAGAGCAAACTCTGTGATTTAGGATGAAGGAATGTTCACATAAATGGAACTTTACACAAGATTAACTTTCAGCAGCTATTATTAAAACATGCCTATAAAGAACAGAGACCTCTTAAACCAGACTCCTGTTTCACCTGGATTTTTTATTTTAAGCCTACAACTTGACTGTACAGAAGATTTGACTCATGGTTTTTCCCCCTTTTTTCATTTTCCCAAGTTCTTTAGTTACCTAAATTCAGTTCAACATTAGCCAAAAATTGATGCTGAATTTCAGTGTGAAACACTTCATGTTTACTAAATGAAAGAGTACCTCTGAGAGTCCTTCACTCCAGTTGTACTGAATGCCAAGTACATTTTTATATTCCTATCCCACACTGACAGTCACAGCTGTTTCAGGACAGATGCATTTAAAATACAGACAAAAGCCAAGATAATTTATTAATAATCAGTTCATCTTAGCTATTATCTTAAATTTTAGTTTGCTTCAGGATTAACACAGATGGAAACTCGGCATATTTTGGTCAGATCTAATGAAAAACCAGAATGCTTTCAAGCATTGCTCTGTGTAACTACTAAAAGCCAGTTTAGCACATAAGGCCAATAAGCCCTGCCTTTGAATGAGTCTTATGACTAGCTCGCTGAAAATTAGTTTTGTTGTTTGTCAACTACATTACATCCTTCTCATTTTTCAGAAACTGCCGCAGTCTTAGGAACCTGATCAGCAAAATACCTACATACATTTTTAGTTAAGGAGCTCAAGATCAGGCATGCCCAAGACTGCAGGTTTACCCTTTTTTGCTATAAATAAAAACACTCTAAAAGCAACACAAGGAAATTGTTATTCAATCCAGCAGTGAGAATCCCAGTTTACCTGGGAAGGCCCCAACTGTAATCCCTGATAATTTCTTGGGAGCAGAATCAAAGGGTTGCAGCATGCGACTTCAACCCTATAAAAATCCAGCTGGAATACAGAAAACATGAAAACAGTGATTTTTCTGGCATTCCATTTAAAAGGAAGAGTTAAATTAATACATGAAAAGATTCTATCAGCCACAATTCATCTGACTTATTAATTGAACACCTTCTTGGAAACATGGAGATAAAGAGGTGTACCTAAGAGAATTTGAGATAAGAGTGAAAGGAAAGGGAGAGAAATTAGCAGTTTTTTGCCAATCCACTCCCTTAATTGTCATGCTAAACTTGTTCAAAGCTTCCTAAAGGAGTGTAATGCGAAATTGTAACTACAGCCTAGACTGATGATGCAGAAGATAAAAACTTCAGGATTATTATTAAATATGCTTATCTTTAAACACAGAAGAGGCAGTAGAGCCACCTAAACAGCATAAAGCTGTTCTAAAACAAGACAAATGCATACTCCATGTGTTCTAAGCAGTTCAAGCTGCTTCCTGTGATGAAAAACATGGGCTGTACAGTAGACATACTATAGCTAAGTACAACAGATCCCATGATACAGCTGTTTAAAAGAATATTAAGCCAATGAAAGAAATGATGAAATTTTACTCCATAGAAGACTTGCAGGCAAAAGGAAATAGAAATAACAATAAATGTGCAAGCTTACTGGGTTCATACTGAACTTAAGAATTCCCTCTCTAGGAAGTAAATCCATCCTGTTAAAAGCACAGTCTCTCTGGAAACAACAGGGATCTATAGGCACTTTGCCCTGGGTCAGATTAGGAGAATAATAGTTGGCACTTTTCAGCAGCAGATCTCAAAGACTGTAATTTTCCTCATTTTACAGGCAGAGAAACTGAGAAGTTAAGCACACAGGCACCTCTAGAGTCAGCAGCCAAATTGAAGGGATTAGAGCAGGCAACAGGAGCCCTTGCATCTTCCAATTCTTAGGTGCATCTTCTGTACCACTCCTCCACCCCACCCCACCCTTCCAATACCCACAGCAAGCCATTCAATTGCACAACTCACCCGACACACATTGAACAAAAAGTATGACACCAACACAATACAAGCCTTCTGATCCAAATACTTCAAAGGAAGAAGATTGTAGAAAGTAACAGGAGTTGTATAAAACCTGTTATGAGCAATCCATAATTTATTACAGCCACACAAGTCTGGTGGTCTTCATAAAAGTGCTGGCCTTGAGACCTGTTATATGCTAACAAGGTTGGATGCTATTTTGAAAAATTTATAAGAGAATCAAACTATTGTGACCTTGTTGTATTTATGAGTTATAGATGATTACACCCACCACTCACGAGCCTCTGACATAAGATTTTCCTCCCAAATGTGAATATTACAAAGAATGAAAGGGTTAAATTATTTAAGCAGAAAAGCAAATAGGAAAAAATAGATTTGGGCTCCAAGTAACATTTTATATACTGGCTGCTATTTTAGAGCTGCACTGGGTAGTGTTAGGTTCTTAAAATCATACTTAGGAATCTAAATAAAAGTTTTTGGATTTGTAGGACTGCTAGGCAATGAGAAATCATTGGGTGTCTGTACATTTTTTAAGTCAGGCCATTCAAATTTCGGTACCTAACTCAATATAGATTCAAGAATTTCACTTTCAGTACAAAGCTTCAAAAATACCTTATGTCTAAACACATTATTAATTATAATAGGTGAAATCCTGGCCTCTGAAGTCCATGGGAGTTTTGCCATCAATTTCAATAGGGCCAAGATTTGAAATGCTAATTTGTCAAAGTAAATCCTGAAGTTAATGGTCTGGAAATCCTATTCTCCAAACTGAAGTACATTTTACACATTTCTGAAGTGCAATACAAACTATGAAAGACAACCAGGTTCTCAAAGACAAAACATGAGCTCACTAGCTCACAACCAGCATTTGATAGTAGCTGACAAAGCTGAGCTGCTGGATGTATACACACACAAACACATACTTAATTTGGTATTCTACTGCATAGGAATTTTCAAGAGGTCTCCTGCTGAAAAACTCATCATCCATTTAAATTCTTATGCTGGTGATTTGTAAGAAAAGATTATCTAAACTCCAGGGTTTAGGTAGATTATAGTCCTCAACCTGAAAAAAAATAATTGCCATCATTGAATATCTGGATACATACAAATAGTTTCACTTTGGACCTAGAACTGCAAATGATAATTTTATGGAATGATTTCACTTCATTCAGTGAACCTTTTAATACTTGCACATCAAATCCAGGATTGGGTTAGATTTTGTGGTTGTGGTTTTACAGGTGAATGGATATTGCCATCTACTGTTAGAAAAAGTGTATGGTGGATCAGCTAAGACACCCAGAGAAGACCGTCTTACTTCAAAGCATAGGTTTAAAACGTAAAGCCCAAAACTTCAAAAACATTGTAGAAAACTTCATTCTGTGGAGCTCTGTATAGCTCTACTAAGTCTTCTGGACAAAGTTAAAATTATTCTGCTTTTAAGCCTTTTTATGTTAAGGCCTTATACAGGCAGTCCTACGACTTGCAACACAATTGGTTCCTGAAAACCACATCTTAAGTCGAAACATCGCAACTCGGAACCGATTCTCTCTTAGGAAGTAACATTACAAATGGGGGATTGGTTCCTGAACCAACGCCCAATACCCTATTTTCACCAAAAATAACCAAGAAGTTTGTACTCAATCAATTATAGATGCATGATATAGCTACATTAATGCATTTATACTGTAAATAGCAATCATATTGATTTGGAAGGACTTCTTTGAGGCGACTTTGCTGGACTTTTTGAAGGATTCTTCGCTGGATTCTTCTCAAGAGTCTTGGCTGCAGGTTTTTCTAGAGTCTTGAACTTGTTTGCTGGCATAGCAGCACATCAGATCAAGCATTGTAAAGTTGAAACTGACATCAGAAAGTTGAAACTGTGTCAATTTATAAACGTTGTAAGTGCAAAATGTTGCAACTCAAAACATTGCAAATTGAGGGCTGCCTGTATTACTAGAAATAATTTATTAGTCTGAACATTCATAGCTGCACTTGTTGCATGCATGAAACTAGACACCCTTAGTCCCAGACTTAAATGACATCTGATGTTAAAAAGCTCAACAGAAATATTAATTTTACTGTATTTTTATTTGCAGTAAACTCTAAAAGTTGCTTCCTCCAGTTTTTGTAGTTGTGCAGAAATTATTTACTATTGAAAACCCATGTAACACACACAGGGACTGTTACACCTCTGCACAGGAATACGTTTCACCCACAGAAGCAACATGGGCAAGTGGACTGAACACAGGACAAGGTAATAGGAACTACCAAAAAAGAAACCCCCCTTAACTGTGGAACTGACACGTGGCAATAGGCAAGTCTCTGAACCTCTCTGTGCATGAAGTCCTCTCCACACCAAAGGAAATGAAAGTTTTGAAGTGATTTGCAATGAGACCAAGGTGTTATCCCATGTCTCAGCTTCTCCCTCCACAGACAATATGCAAGTAGTCACACAGCACTTCAAAAGATACTAATTGCTAGATGTTAAGTGTTGCCATTTAATTTGCTTAAGTACAACAGTCCAGAGAGAAAGCATTTAAGTAGCTTATTCTATTATATGTTCAAACAATATCTATGTATCAAATAAGATATGAATAAAATATTATAGAATTTGATAAATGAAAAAAGAAAGGAAACAGCAATCCACTGAAAGCTTTATTTGAACTCTGACAACCGATAAAGGGACCAGAAACTGAGTCTGTACACAGCCCTCTGGCTTCAGCTTCCTGAATCACACTTCAAGATGAAAAAGGAGACCTGTGGAAAACAAAAAGGGAGTACATAAACATGAAATCAGAACCTGTGGCTCAACAGTTCCTCTTGTTTTCACTAAATATGCACAGATTATGTTGTTGCATGGCATTTTACATATAAAGATTATTTCTAAATATCACTATGATGTTTTTCCTATTGCTTTTCAGCTGACATCACAACTACATTTTAGGTTGTATGTACCTGCTGATTATACAAGTCTGCAAACACAATTGGGTCAAGTTTTGCTGATGTTTGGCCAGATCTTTCAGTAGTTAAACAATCTTTGAATAAAACCATTCTTTGTCTTTAATAGCTATTATTTCTCTTTCAGATACTTGTGAGAGAACAAAAAAGTAAGGACTAGTTGAACAATTTACTATTGTAGTGCAATATTAAATTCTGCTTGCATTGTTCTTTAAAAATTTAAATGCATGTGGTCTTTAAGATTTTTTTTTTTTTTTTTAATGTTATTGAAATTTACATCAACCACAACAGCAAAAAACACTTAGCTTTTCCAAAACACATTTCAAATCACAGGTTGAAGTGCTTTAGGTTAGTCTTCATGAAAAATTATGCAATTTCCTTAAGTGATTTTATACTTATTAAAATGGTGCAACCCCTTTGTGGACACTATCTTCAAAAGATCTGAAACAGCCTTTTGGTAGTTTTCCACGTGTCAGTAAATTAAACAGGTACAAACTAAATTAATGTAATATATTTTCAATAAATACAAGACAATCTACACCCCAAATAGAAGCCATTTTAACCAAATCAATTTAAGATAAGCTAGTGCAGCTTCATGTAAACAAGCCTTTAGAGGTATGGTAGAGCATTATCATTTATATTTTGTTGGCAGGGGAGCTGAAGTTATGGGACTGCGTTACTTTAGCCCCGAGTCACTAGAAGAGCCAGGGATAGAACATAGTTCTTGGGTCCTTGGCCCACAGTCACAAAGTAAAGCTGGAGAAGATGCAGCCAGAACATGTAAAAATAGAGAAACAAATCTGCATATTTGGAATGCACTTCTCTTCTTACCCAGAGAACAGAAACTATTCAAAACCGTAAGATTTATTTTATTATAGCATTCTACTTTTTTTTATAATAAAGTACTTCCTACTGATTTAACTGTTCTTTAGATATTGTACATTTACACTTCTTCCAAAATGCATTGCAACAAATTATCTTTAGTCTCCTGTGGGACTACTGAGTCACATCTGAGAAACTATCTTTATGAAGCTTTTTGCTGGGTCATCTCCTCCAGCATTCTTCTGTCTACCATCACTTTGCAATAATTTACCTATTTAAAGCCATAGGCTTGCAACTCCCCCTTTAGGGAGATGGATTTTTCCTCAAGGCACATCTTTGATAAATTTAATGTAATCCCAAGTTACACATTTTTTAGTTTTTCCAAAGGGGTGGAGTGACTGCATGCATTCTCCATGGCCTATTTCCTATAACAGCCCTTACCTGTCAACAGGGGGTAGCCTAGATACCTATTAAGGCAGGGGTGGGCCAACCCCCAGCACATGTACCACAGTAACCCAGGCAGCCTTTGTATGTAGCACAAAAATGGGGCATGGAGTGGCAGACAGGGCAGGGAGCAGAAAGTACAGCAACAGATCAGACAAGGGAAGAGAATGGGCAGAGCACTCAGAGAGGGTGCAGAGTTAAGTTAGGAGAGCAACTTTAAGTGCTATACATAAGCAAAATGTTGGGCCCCACATTGTAATAAAGGTAGGTGCAATCCTAGAGAGAACCATCTTACAAAAAAAGAACAAAAACAAAAAAACCTGAAACTTAATGAGATTCACATGTTCAGCACTGAATAAAATATACTTAAAACATGACATAAGGTAGGAGATGCCCCACTGGCAGACCTGTTTCCCCAAGTTGCAGACTCTCAGTAGGTGCTGCTTGCTGCCAGTTGTTTTGTTAAGGGAAGAACCATCAAACGTGATTTCTTTGATTCCCTGCAGTGGCTGCCACTTGCAAATAGTTTTAGACTCTTAAGGGGAAAACTTGCTGAGAGCTTCAGTTATTTTGATTCCTGAAAAGCCACAGTAGTGCTTTTTAGAACCATTTCTGTGGTAAAACATTCGTGCGGCCGGGAAAGCAGCTGCATGCAGCGCAACCGCGGTTGCTGAAATTTTCCCCCGCTATATTTGTTGTACTCATCAGCAATAATGTACCAAGGAAGCCATATTAAACAAAAACTGCTTGCTGCCATAATCCAATGAAAGCAAAACTGAATTAATAGATTTCCCAGTTTTGTAAAGTTGTGAAGTCTGTGAAAATTGTACGTGCAGAATATAAACTCCTACATGCATTCAAAAACATTGGAGTTTCAGGTTTATTATTATTGAAAATAATGGCCAAAGTCAACTTTGGTTTCAGCCCCATTAAAAGAGAATTACTACAGTAATGGATATGACCCAGAGCTCTCCATAGTGCTATTTAACTGCTGTGACAACAGGGGAAGAGAAAGAAAACTCTTGAAAGACAGAAGGTAGAACCCTTCTTACAAAAAAAAGTTACTCAGGTACATTTTATTACATGTAAAAAAAAAAACAAAACAAAAAACAAAAAACAAACAAAAACAAAAAACAAAAAAAAAAACACCTTAAGTAGCAGTAAGTCCTACAAGAATTATTTGACTGTTGTGAACGGACAGCTATAGCTGAGAAAACAAAAGATTATTTACCAAAGTTAAAGCAAAGGCATGTACAATTGTTACTCTGGGAAAAAAAAGCAGTGTAGAACAAAGGCAAAACTACGTGTTCATTTAGGAGAACAACTTCATCATAAAGTGCTACATATGACCAACACTCAAACCAGACAGTGCTGTATGCATTTTCAAAGGCACAGGGCACTTACCTTTTTATTTTATTTATGGAGGACATAAGGCAATTTTCTTCCCATTGACCCATTTTTTTCCCCTTTCAAACAACATGCAAGTAGCCTTTAGACATAAAGAAAGAACTTGCCACTAGGTGGCACCCCTCATACATCTATTAAGCTACTGAATTGCAGATCCAGAGGGAAGGTAAGATTGGATCAGGTGTAAGGCAACCAGCCACTGGATGATGGATGGTAACTGCAGTAGCATTCAGGCCATTTGTTGCTCTGTGACCAGTGTTACCAAGTCTGCTTATAATAAGCAGAACTGGGCTTGTTTTGGTTTTTTTCAGTCATGTTTTGAGTCACTAGTTGATAAGCACCCCCACTCCTCTTTGAAATGAGTTGGGCTTGTTTTTAAATGCAGTGCAGCTCCCCAACCCCCAAACACTTGAGAACAGTGTCTGTGACAGCAGGCCAAGACCTAGCAGGAAATGTGATCTGCCTCAATGGTTAGAGAGAGACCACTAGGTGCACACCTAATTTAGGACAGGGATGCTCAACCCCCCGCCTATGGAGCTGTATCATCCAGCCTACAGGCTCCCCAAGGGTCAGGAACTTTGGCA